TCACGTCTAACTCTCAATTATTGAGGGACCAGTTAACTAGTCTGGAGGTTATGTGGGCCTCCTGCAGCCTGCCTTTTGGCCACTTCAGTCCCTGTAGATCATCACTCAAGAAGTGTGGAAATAACCGAGCAATCATTGTGAAAGAAAGATTATTTGGGTGTGCCCTGGTTGACCAGTTAGTAAAGTCTAATGGAAACTAAAATTATTCATTTCAGTGCAATTTGAGATTATCTGAGGATGGAACTATGGATGATGGTAAAAGAGGCTCCCTTTTATACTATATATCCTTGCAAATGAGCCATAAAATGAAGGTATTATGAGTACTAATAAAATTTAAGAGTACTATTTTTCTGTTAATAAAATTGAGTCAACAAATTGTTACCAAATGTTTACCCTTTTATAAAAGAAAATGTTTAGTCGTCCACTTGTAGACAGGAGCTCAGGGATAGAAGGCCTCCCTCTGTCAATTTAAAGATTTAGTTTAAGTGACTTAAAGTATTTTTAATTCATCCAAGAATAATTGGAACTGACTGGATATTATTGAAGTAACTACAAATAGATGTAGCTGTTGGGGAGGCATAAAGATTGACTTGGCATAAGATTTAATTTTCATTTTTTTATAATAGTTTGAGGAATAACCTGTTTTGATTAACAAGTCAGCATTCCAAAAATATGTGTAAACTAAACATATTTATTTGAGGTATAGTTTTTTATTGAATTGCATTATTCTTCAAAGATGCTTAAGAATCCTTTAAGAGCAGTATGTGGTGGTTCCTAAAATTTTACCTTTATAGGATTTCAACTGCTATCACCACATTTTTAATTGCTGAGTAATTACTGTTCTATAAATAAATACTTAATCTTAATTTTACTAACTATAGAAAAGAACATTTTAATGAATACCTATACCTTAGTGTTGGTTAATAAAGCCAAACTTTTTCAACTTGTGGAATCTTGCCACTAATACTAAATTCACATTATTAGATTTATACATTAATATAATTGGTGCCTTACTCCAGAAGTTGAAGGATCATTTTCTTTTTTGAAATCCTCTAGAACAGGCATCAGTGAACTTTCTTGTAAATAGCTAGGTAGGATTTTAGGCTGTGTGGGTCAAGGGGCAAAGTTGAGGATATTCATTGTTATATAGATACTTACATAAGAAAGAAAAAAGTCTATAATTGGTTTTTTTTTTTTTTTTGAGACAGAGCCTCAAGCTATCCCCCTGGGTAGAGTGCCATGGCATCACGCTCACAGCAACCTCCAACTCCTGGGCTCAAGCGAGTCTCCTGCCTCAGCCTCCCAAGTAGCTGGGACTACAGGCGCCCGCCACAACACCTGGCCATTTTTTTTGGTTGCAGCCATCATTGTTGTTTTGCGGGCCCGGGCTGGGGATTTGAACCCGCCACCTTAGGTGTATGTGGCTGGCGCCTTAGCCGCTTGAGCCACAGGCACCGGGCCAAAAAAATCTATAATTGTTTTAACGTAGGTCTACTAATAAGCACATTTGAATTTGTGGATGGACGCAAATAAGAATTTCATATGGTTTTCATGTGTCACTAAATATTCTTATTCTTTACATTTTTTTCCAATCATTTAAAAGTGTAAAAACTATTCTTAAGTCACTAGCCATACACAAATAGGGGCAGGCTGAAGTTGACCTAGAGGCTTTAGTTTTCAAATCCTTACTGAAGAACACCGTTCTTAACCAGTAAGTAGTCCATAATCCTATACCAGGGATTAGTGTCATAGGGTTCTTGAACCTTCTGAGATCACAAGTAACGTTTCATGCATACACAAATATTTCTCTGGTTGGAGTCTACAGCCTTCATCTGACTCTCAGAGAAATCCCAGACTTAAAAAAGATTAAGAGCCACTATTCTTAAGACATTTCATTACTTTTTAGGAGACATTTTCTGAGTGCCTGATAGTTCCTAGGCACTTTGAAGGTCTCTGGGAACTCATGGGAATTTCTACTGTAGGAGCCAATACTGCTAGAGACACTTAGGGTAAATAATTGTTGGGTGATCCTACTCATAAAGTTCATAGTCTCCCCCTTTTTTGTTGGTTTTAAAGGACTCAGAAAGATGAAAATTCACACCTCTGGTTACGGGAGGGAAAGACTTGTCATATTTGCATGTATTTAGTAAATAATTTAGGCTCAGATTTAAATCTTTGAAACATTTTAATGTTTGGACCATTTCAGGCTATGACGAGAAATCAGATTAATGTATTAAGTACCATTTTCTTTAAAGATTAATCCACAGATAAGTTCATGTTAGTTCAGCTGATATCAGGGGCTGAGATATGGGTAGAGGCCACATTAAAGTGGCTTATTAAAGCTGAGCTCGTGAACTTGCTGCTGGACTTGACCCATAGCTGTTAGTCAAAGCTAAGCTCTTGAATGTTCAAGTCATGAAATTGAATAGTTACCCTGGGGCAGAGGTGGTGGTGAGAAAACAGAAATGTCCATTAGAAAATAAATAAGCGGCTTAGGAGTTCCTGCCTCTGCTCCAGGGTTGAGAATGGAAGAGCTTGCCTTTCCTTAATAAACAGTGGTATAGAATAAAATTTATACTCAAGGAGGAAATGGTTATAAAAGTTAGAATACTCGTCTTGAAACCTAAAGATAGCACAGTATATAGCTTGTGGTGAAACCTTAAAAAAATTTAAATATTTTCAGCAAGCCGCTTCCATTTTCTATATAGACTAATAATGAATTTACAGCTTTTTTTTCATACACTTGGAACATACAACACCCCCAAGAATGTTAAAATGTATTCTGAAGAAAGTAGGATTTAACCAGAAAAATTTCCCTGGTGAGTCACCTCCCAAAAAAGGAAAGAAGAAATTACAGAAGTTCAGAGCTACCATAAACAAAAATCATTGCTTACATGTCAGTTAAACTTAAATATTATTAATTGATCAGTATTTATTAGTGATTAATGATTCACCCCCCTTAATGTCTTTCTTTCAGTTCAGTAATTAAGTCACCCTACTAAGTCTTGCCAGTTTGGGGGCCTAGATTCTTTTTACCCTTCCTAATGTTCCAGTCAGGTAATTCGATAAACTCCTGTGATACTTCTATAATAATTGCCCTTCTCGGTTTTGTAAAAGGCAAAAGCAAAAAATATCCAGGAGAATGAGGTGGCAACTTCAGTGAGAAATTTACTAGGAAAGGCAGATCGAAAACATAAAGTGAAATACAGAGTACTATTGTGTAGTTCCATAATGGAGTTTTTACCTACAGAGATTCTTGCTAATTTTGAGACAGCTATGATTAATTGAATTGATAAAATCTGCTTTATTGCTGAAGCATGCCTGGGTGGCTGTTTGGGGAGATTTCCTTCACATATAAAATAATGTCACATCAGCTAATTCCTGAGCTTCACTTCTCATTGGATGAGAAGTATCTCATCTCCCTGTAGCCTCTTAAATGACAATACCTCCTTGGGCTGGGACAGCCCTCAGCTGTTTGTACCCCAAACCTTAAGGCCCCTGCCCTGACTACTCCATCTATTTTTCTTGCACCTGGTGGTGTCCCTTTCCTCTTCAGCCTCTTGGACACCATGCCTTGTGTAACCACCCTAGTAAGTCTCACTGGTTTAGGGGGCTAGATTCTTTTTACCCTTCCTAATGTTCCAATCAGATAATTTGATAAACTCCTAATGCTAATATTGGAAGGGGCACTTCCTTCCAAGCTGAGTGTGATTTATAACAGTGGCTTCTTGGAATGCTGTGCTGGTGACAATTTCAAGTCCGTGTGTGGGACTCAATTCTTAGTCCACAGCCTCCTAGTCTACTTACATTTACAGCTATTCCTATTAATGTGATTTAACAAGTGTGGACTCAGCTTGACAACACCACAGATTAATTATATTTTTAGTAAAAGGAAATCAAAGGGAAAAAGAATACATGTGATTAGTAATTTATAGTGAGACTCCAGCAGTTACACAATAACTACCTTATAGGGGCACTAGTAGAAATGTAATGCATTTAGTAGTAATTTATTATTCATTCATTAAATTGTTAAAATTTATTTTGAAAATCTATTGTTGATTGTACCTGTCAGTCATTAGTCTCTAAATATTGGGTACAGATATTCAAAAAAATCAAAGCAAAGTATAACCACATTGAGAAGAAAAGATGCTCACACGTGGAACAAACTGGAAAACAGCACAGTGAAGTGATACATGTGGTTACAGATTTTAAAAAAGGCAATAAATTTATTAAATTCCTTGGCTCCAGGACTTGTAAAAATGGAAAAACCAGTAATAGCCCTTTGCATTTCTAAGGCTTTTCATTACATCTTCTACTCTAGTTTATGTACCATCTCATCCTTTTATCTTATCTCTTCCTGCCTGCCTGACAGTGATCCTTGTAGCATTTCTAAGGTCTTTTTGAACTCTGAGTATTATCTGGCCCCCTAGATAAAGGCAAGGCTAGGCAAGTCAGATTAGTTTGTGAAACAGGGCCTCTAATAAAAAAAAAAAAAATGAAATAAATGACCGTACCAATCTCATTTTAGGAAGATGGCAAGAAGCTGTTAAAGCACTCACTTTTTCTAACCTATCCCTTTTTCTCAACATTTAGCTCTCTTTATATCAGTGTACCTAGAAAAGAGAAGCAAGGTCAGTGTTTGGTAGTACAAGGGGACCTGTGGCAGCACTGGTCTACTTTAAGTCTACCTGGGAAGTCCATGCCTGTGTAAAGAGACAAGGAAGATCATCATATATATGATCTCATTAGTGACAGGGATTTGAGGTTAAAAAGGAAGTGCTAGAGAAAACACATGCATAATAGACTCTAACAATGAGATTTAATTTGGCTAATTCAGAACTGTTAAAAAACCATGTGGTGTGTTTTATCCACTTGTCAATAAATTTGTTACTTAAAGAGATTTGTTGGTTTAAAGAGAACTTCTATATGGGAACTAGTATGAGATTAAAAATAAATCAGAAAAAACGCTAATACCTTTTTTCTCTCTTTTAAACATACAGGCTTCTTTTCCTGTGGCCCCACCACTTGCACCTAATCCTCCGGTGGCTTTTAATCCTTACTTGCCGCATCCTGGAATGGGCCTGTTTCCTGCTGAACTTATACCAAATGCACCTTTTCTGATTCCTGGAAATCCACCTCTCTCAATGCCAGGAGCTGCTGCTCCAAAACCGATGCGTTCAGATAAACTGGAGGTATTTGTGAAGAAACATATAAATATCTGTAAGATAGATGTTAACCTTACACATAAAGTAACATTCTTAGAGCCAAGTGTGTTGAATATTTGAAATAAGTAATCCAAGTATTTTAGTTTACAGAGTGCTTATGGAATATAACCTCAGAAAAATGTTACACATTTTATTATTGTAATCATACCCTGTTATGAAGTGCATTGATCCAGTTGTATATTAGGTAAAACAATGTTTTATTTATACCCAGCCATAGTATATTGGCAGCCTTGTCACTCCAAATTTTACAGAATAATTCAAAGGATTTCGTCTGTGAAATTTAGATTTGGTCAAGGAGGTGCACTTGGGGATTTGGATGGCCACTTGTGGCCTTTAGGCCACAGATTCCCCACCCTGTTAGGGCACAGGAAATCACAGTAGAAGTGCTCCTTGTATACAGACTTTAGCTTTACAGAATGGAATTACTGTGTTTGTTAATGAGTCTTTACTTGCTAGAACAATGAAACTGACACAAAAGTAGACTGATAATGATTCTCCACGATTGCAGCATGTAGTTACTTGAATGCAGAATGTAAATGAATCTTACATTGTGTAAACCTTTTTTTCCATTTTAACAAGGATGTACTAGATAATAAATATGCCTTGATGCCTAAGAAAAGAAAATTTAAAAGACATTTCAAATAGCTTTTTGATATTGAAGTCCTTCGGTCTTCTCTTAATTGTCATTCTTTGAACATTGAAATAATTAGTTGATTTCTTACAAAGGCAGCCCCTTAAATGCCTGGTTAATGTATTGTTATAGAATCTGATTGTTCATGTAACTCAGTCATGGTTCACAAGTTGGCTGTGGAAAACCACCAGTGCATTGCTTGGTGATAAAGACTCACCTTAGAAAAAAATTACACTTAAGGCTATTTATTAACTGGAGGATTAAAAATGGGTTTTGATAATACTTTAAGTACTTCTATTTCAATGTGAGGAAAATAGACAACTTTTCTTTGGAGAGAATGGATTTTTTTTTTCCTAGGGGATAGAAATTCTGTGTTTATATCTCATATTGAATGGAGCTATCATTATCCTTCATCTTTTTAGATTATTCCTAAATAATAAGCACAAAATATATGTTAAATACAATTATTCTTACATTTACTGTGAAAAAATAAATAAATAGAGCCAGTCACCTCCCAGTCATCAAGGTGTGTGTGTGTGTGTTTCTCTTTAAGGTTTGCCGAGAATTTCAGCGTGGAAATTGTACCCGTGGGGAGAGTGATTGCCGCTATGCTCACCCTACGGATCTTTCCATGATTGAAGCAAGTGATAATACTGTGACAATCTGCATGGATTACATCAAAGGTCGATGCACCCGAGAGAAATGCAAGTACTTTCATCCTCCTGCACACTTGCAAGCCAAACTGAAGGCGGCTCATCACCAGATGAACCATTCAGCTGCCTCTGGAATGGTAAGATCAGGCCTGGATTTGTGCCCTATTTTAGGGTAAATGGTTCATATATTCCCCAATTTGTCTAATATCCTGTAACCATAATCTTGAATAGTTATGAGTGGACCTTAATATGAATAGTCAATGTTATGAGCTGGAAAAGAAAGAACCTATTTATTCTACTTTATTTACTAAGATTTTTTAAAAGATAATTATTTAAAAGCTTTACTAATGATTTTAACCTACTGTGCTCTTTCTCCCATTTGCAGGGAAAGGTTAAATTGTATGATTTAAATAGTAAATTATTTTTGGGAGCTTTTATAGTCTAACTATTCTTAATATCCTAGAAAGGCAGAAAGTTGCCTCTCTGCTCTCTAAGCCACTTTTATGGGCACTTTGCTACTAATATCTTTAATGTTGTTCTAAAATAGAGCACTTGAAATATGGTATAGTAAGTAGTTTTTAATTTCTCCAATGTTAATTTTTAAGGTTATTTTTCCTTTTTGAAGGCATGGTATTAAGGACAAAGGCAGTAGCCTGCTAAGTCTAAGGGACACTTTCTACATGGTCAGGAAAGAAAGACTGGCTTTTGGGTTGCCCTAACAAGTCAGTTGTGGGAAGAATTTAGTTCTGCTTAATTAGACTGAATGTTGGGAAGTAGGGAAAGTATGTGTGTAACACTAGAGCATGACAGGTTGACAACCAGGAACTATGATTACTTAAGTTTGTCACAACTGTCAATATTTTGATGTACTGATTGATTTTTTTCCTACCTGGACCTTTCCTCATGTAGTAGAGCATAACAACCACAATAAGGCACAAAACCTTGAGGAAACATCATGTTTCCTGGCTGTGGAAAAAGCACTTACATGACCTTGAAGCTGAGGGGATGCACAGTTAAATCTCCTCATGTACATTTACAGTCAGAGTTCTATGACAGAGACCTTGCCTTTTCATAAGATAGATACATTTATTTTCAAGCATACCTATTAAGAAGGGTGGCCTCAAGTGGAATTGAAATTTATTTTGCTTCAATTTGAACTTCACAAAATAAGTCAATCTCTAGCCTATATGAGAGTGACTGTCACGTCTCTTCTCTAAGGCAAATATACTTAATTTCTCCAACAAGTTGATCCTGGTTAAAACCAGTCAAAACTAACCAAAACCAGTAAAAGGTCTAAATTAGTCTGAAGAGGTATAAACCACATGAAACCTGTCTAGTTGAAAACAGCTGAAACCAGTCTTAACTGGTCTAAACTGGCTGTAATGGGTCTAGTACAGACTTAAACAGGTCTAAACCAGCCCAAACCAGTCTAAACTAATCTAAGAGAGTCAAGGCTAGAATAAGCCACTATGAACCAGCTGAAAGCAGAATAAAATGGCTGGAACTGGTTGAAACTGGTCTAAGCCAGACTAAGTAGACTAAAATCTGTCTGACCCAGTGGAAGTCAGTCAAAACTGGTCTAAACCAGAATAAGCTGCCTGAAATGGGTCTGAAACACCTGAATTCGGCTTAAGCAAGCTGGAGCCAGTTGTAGACTGCCTGTAACAAATCTAGACTGGTTTAAACTGGTTAAAACCAGTTTATACTGGTTGAAATCAGTCTATATCAGCTGTGACTAGAGGAGGTTATCATAAACCTGCCTAACCAGCTGAAACCATTCTGAACTGGCTGAATCAGGCTTAACCCCATTGAAACTGTGAAACTGGTCAACACTGGCTGACACTAGTCTAAACCAGTTTAGTCCAGTACAAACTGGTAGAAGCTTTGTCTGATTGAAAGTTATCAAATCTGGTCAAAACTTGTCTACACTAGCTGAAACCAGTCAAAATTGGCTGAAATAAATAACAGACCTCCCAATACTTTTACTAACAGCAAAGTTCCCAGAAGAAAATAGAGATACCTTGAGGCCTTGGTTATCTAGAGGAAGGAGGTCATGGCATGAGCATTTACTTAGCACAAGTATTTGTGTCTCCCTAAAAAATTAGAGCATACTGAATTGTTGCTGGGTCATATTTTTTTAAGTAATGTGAAATTTGCTGAGAAAAAAAATGTAATGTTAAACTTCTCCAAGGAATCTGATCCAGGGACAAATTTGACTAAGTATCATAAGCACAGTGGGATTTTGAAAAGATTGTAGACATGAAAGGAAAGTTTAAGAATGCTAATAAGTTTTGGAATTAGACCTTACAAGGACTTAACAAGCCATATGGTACATACCAGAATGCACAGTAAGCTATTATAAATGAGAACTGTGTACATTTTGCTAACTATCCATAGTATCTGGCTAAGGTAGGTAGTGGGGGAGGAATGATTTGTTTTGTCCTCATATGTTAGTTAGGTAATAAAGAGTTGTAGGACTTGAACCTAAAGTCTTTATATTAATTAGATTTTATTTTATGATGCTACAGTGTCAGACTCTGATCTACCAACATCTGTTTTATCACCTGTATACCATTTGTCTCCTAGATCTATGTTGGAATTTTAACTGAAAGAAATCTCTTTCGACCTATATCTGTTGTTTTTGCTAATTTCATCTTTGTAGATTAATAGATGAACGTCCCTCAGATGTTAATTTTTAATGATTATTTGCTGTAAAAGCTTTCTATTGCATCCTGCCTCAGTGAGGTCTAAGTTAGTCAAGTTGAAAAGATTTTTTTTTAAAGATTTTTTTTCTGTTGGACTATCTACTCTTCTAGTTGTTTTATTTTGTTTTATTGGTTAATCACAATTGATTACCTTGCTGTGGAGTCACTGTTTATCCAAAGTATTGCTCAACAGATACTCTTATGGAGGAGTCCTAGGCCATACCTGCTTGCCTGGTTTGTGTACGTGCTTTACTTTCTCTGGTATTAGTGATTAATCAATCCCTCCCCCGCAGACCCTGCAGCCTGGTGCAGTGCAACTGATACCAAAGAGATCGGTACTTGAAAAGAGCAATGGTGCCACCCCGGTCTTTAATCCCAGTGTTTTCCACTGCCAACAGGCGCTGATTAATCCACAGATGCCTCAGCCGGCATTTATCCCTGCAGGTGAGAACATAGCTCTGGGCACTGTGGTGAGTGCAGTAATATTGTGAACGTATATAATGCAAAGCAGCTTCAAAAGAGATTTTGTGAGAGGACTGTTGACATGTATTTTGATTAGAAATAAAACTAGTCAGTTATGCTTTACCTGTTGGTATCAAGAATAACCTGTTTTTTCCTACAAGTCCTGAAAATTAATTGTTTGAAATCAAACAAGGAAAAGGTATCAACATTTTTCTTTTTAGCATTTCTTATTTTTTGCTTCTTATGATTGAGTCACTCAGTTCCATCTCAAACTAATTCTTTGACTCTTAGGTGTCACTTTCACAGATAGTGGTCTGATTTCAAAAAAAAATTTTTCAGCTTCAGTGTTAGGAAGACTTGTGATCCACATATCATTATTATGCCAAAAATAGTTACAATAAAACTGCCCTTAAACTTATAAGATAGGATAGGATAATTAGTATAATACAGCATAGTGTATATAAAACACTATGATAGTTTTAGCCTCTAACTCTTGGACCAGGTAATATTTTAAAGTTTATTATATTTTCTGACATTTTGCAGCATTTTGTACATTACCTCCTATATTCAATTATGTTTAATAGCATAATAGTTTAGTGCCAAATTGAATAGAAAAATTTAAGCCAGAATTTTATTCAAATAAATGTCTTATATGGAGAGAAATAATTTTCTACCAGTAGTTTAGTACTTTAAGAATGAGCAGATAGTCTCTTCAAAATAAATTGAAAATACACTAGAAGTACAATAGATTTTTTTTTTTACAGACTCCTAAATACACTAGTTTGGAAGCTATTATTAAATGAAAATAACCTATGTTTTAAAAATTATTTTAGAAAGCCATGGTAATTACATGTATAAACATGCTAAACACATAGTATTATATACTTGGACTTAAAAAGGTTTTGGTTAATTAGTTAATTAATTAATTTTGAAAGAAGCTACGTAAAAATCACCCTTTAATTATGAACCACAATAGTTTTTCATGACATCATTTAAAAAGCATACTTATTATGCATTTATAGAATAGTTCTGGGGAAGGAATGGAATTATTTAGCATGTTTTTAATATCAGTTATAATAAGTAACTAGTGATACCTAATAGTTTGGACTTTTCCCTTAAACCTAAGAAAAAAAATAATGTTCACAGAGTAAAAGAGAAAATCAGTACGAGTTGAGTTCAGGTGGCTTTATTTCTGGCATTTTTTTCTTCAAAAATTGTAGTAATTTACCTAAACATTACATCATTGTCTTGTAGCTATGGAATGAATTCAGTAGCCCAGGAAATCTACCCAGGGTGGTAGAAGGTAATAAAAGTTAACATTGTCCATTCTAGGTTTTCTTAATGCTACAGTTATTTGGTTTAGAAGTTAAACTTTCCTTTGCCAAATTTGGCTAATACAAAATCTAGATTTAGAAGTGAAAATGTCAAAAAAAAATCCCCTTCCCTTTAATTAGTAACAAAATAAAAAGCTATCCAGCTACAGCTCCCTCTTAAAGGAAAGCCCATTTGCTTATTCATAGTCAAAGTTCTCAGTTACAATGAGGTAGAGGCAGCAATGTTCATAGATTAATGGTCTACCTAGAAATGTGGACACCCAATACCAGATCCTGGAGCATATTTTAAAAATAATATGTAAAAAATTGAAATTCTCCTTTTTATGATAAAAATTATTTAGGATACATTTGTCCAAAATATGTAATTTAAGTGATGTAATTCCTTTAAAGAAAAATTAAAGGTTATTGTTGTACCTAAGAATCCAAGAATTAATTTGATTTACCTGGGTTTGTGATCTTAAAGCTAATTTATAATTACAAGCATGGGAGTTTACTTGCTCATGACTTCATGTGCATGTGCTTATTAATTGATATTACAAAGAAAATACCTTTCTAGTTAAAATTTATTTCTATCAGTAAAGGTTTAATAATGGAATATCTCTTTTCTTTACTTTCCACGTTTTTCTGCATGGTGTACAGGGCCAATATTGTGCATGGCACCCGCTTCAAGTATTGGTAGGTTTTGTATAAAAATTCTCAACTTACTCTAATCTGAAAAATGTGATTTTATGTTGTGATTATGAAATAGATAAGTAACTGAAGGATGTGGCTGGACATTTTCTGAGTAATGAAGGTTTAATATGGTGCTTTCTGTCTTCATGTCTTTGTAGAATCAAAATAGTCCTACTTTTTCAAGTCCTAGTTCATTGCCACTGTAGCCAAATACTAACCATATCACTTCTCTATTTGTACCATAATAATAGCAACTGGAATGTTTTAAAATGTTTCTTTACCTGACCACACTGGGAAGTTTTGGTCTTAACTTTACATCTATTATTTAAAAATTATAAAATATTTCAAATGTATAATTTTTAAAGTATGGTGAAACAATTCTTCCCCCAAAAGTTATTCATTCAGTGTAAATCATGCAATACTGAGATGGTGATAAAGGATAAGTTACGCAAAGCTCGAGCATTTTGTAGTGCTCCCTTAGGAATTCTATAGTGTGCTGGGTTGAAGCACCATCTTCACAGAAACTAGGCACAACAGAATCATTTCTTTGGGCGTTATGTGATTTTAAGAACCAGTTGCACACAGGATCAAGATGAGAAAGGAACTGGGAGTTCACAGCTCCTATATATAGTCCTCGTGGGCATTGGGAACAGACCAGAAGAAACTCGCTCTGTTCAACACAGGAAGGAATGATCCTGCCCACTATCTCATATTAATCCAGTTCCTCTCATCCTTTTTTGAGAGTTTGTGCCACCTTAGTCTTTAGCACATCGGTGGACCACAGCAATGGTCCTACTAACAGGCTTCTTGAGATAAAGCAAAAGACCAAACTGACATTTTCACATAGTGTCAGCACTCACTAACACGACAGGATCTGAACCCTGGCAGTGGAGGTAAGGTCTCTGTTACTGAGGAGTGGATGTACCCTGTAGGAACCAACAACAGTTCCATTCATACTAACAGCAACATTACATGCATATGATTAAAAGAACAGACTTCTGCAAGTTTGAAAACTCTGTCTCTGTCTGCACATTTTGTGGTGGTTTTCTGAACCCCCTGTCCTTTCACCTTCAGAGCTCTGCTTAGGAAGCAAACTGCATGCTTTAGTGTTGCTCCTTCCTATACAAGTTGCCACAATCCCAAAGGGAAAACTAGAGTGGTTTTAGAATCGGCACATAGTACAATAAGGGATGGCCTCAGGTGATGGGTAACTAGCAATGGAGTGGAAGGGATAACTACGGGGCACATTTTTCATTTCTGTGACATTGCATATGTCATTTTTTTCTCTCTCTGGTCATTTACTTTCTCTGTAGACTTTCAGAAAATCTGCATTCAATTGATGTAGACATGATAAATTATATATGCGTGCTTGCCATTCACACATTGCCATTTACACATTAATTTCCTGGTTTGCTTTCCAAAATGAGCTAGAAATTAGAAAAGCATCCAAAAAGCTTTCAAAATGAGATAGAAGCTAGAAAAGGCGAAGAGAAAACATCCTGAAAGAGATTTTGCAGCTGCTAGCCATTGTAGCCTTAATATTTGCTGTGAAGACAAGATTTACTATGAAATACTCCATGTATTTGTTTGATAAATAGCCAGTTTCCAAGAGTTTACCGAGGTGCACTTAAAAACCTGCCCACATAGTCCCATATGTTCTTCATATCTCCTCCTCTACCATGTCCTCACCAATCACAGTACCATTTTCTTTCTTTTGGCATGCAGATCGGGTAAGTATACATATAACAGTCCCTTTGCACATGCACATCTAGTGACAGCACTCACGTCTGCAAGTCGGTGAACCCAAACACCAATTTATAATTGCCTAATCCCCTCATTAATGTATAGTCTGTTTACTTGTCTGCTTAACTAGCTTCAGGTAGATAGCCCTGGCAAAATCAGATTTATTTTTCTTAGGCACTCATCATAATTCCTTCTGAAAATTTGGCCTTTAATCAATTACAATGTGATTCTGCTCAAAAACTTACTAAATATTGAGAATGTTCTGTTTTCCTTAATGGTAACTATAATTGGCTTTCCCCTTTCTCTTTTTTAATTTCTCCCCCTTCCATGATGTGTTGCTTTGCACTGAATGTGATTGCATGTTGCACCCTGATGTGTCCATCATGATGTCACTTGGCTTGTTGCTGTGATACCTACACACTACATTCCATCGTATATGTCATCGCTGTGTAAATGCTTCACCTTCCTGTGTGTTGCTTCCGTGGTTTCCTACTGAAAGTGCCCATGATACACGGTGCTCCATCTACCACTGTGTCTGCAGCAGCAACACCTGCCACCAGCGTTCCATTCGCTGCAACAGCCGCAGGCAATCAGGTTTGGCCATTTATTTTACCTGTTCAGACCTAGTTAATTACAATGTGTTGGTAAGACACAGTATATGCTTTTGGATTGGTGAAACACATTAGTTCATATTCCTATGTATTTCTTAAGCAATTGCCACATTTAGAATTTTTTATTTTTATTGTTATGATTTATTTTTTATTGAGACAGAATCTTGCTCTGGGGCCTGGGCTAGAGTGCAGTGCCATCAAAATAGCTCACTGCAACCTCAAACTTCTAGGCTCTCCTGATCCTCCTGCCTCAGGGTCCCAAGTAGCTGGGGCTACCGGCATTCACCACCAACCTGGCTAATTTTTCTGTTTTTAGTAGAGACGGGGTCTTGCTCTTGATCAGGCTGGTCTTGCACTCCTGGGCTCAAGCAACCCTCCTGCCTCAGCCTCCCAAAAAGTTAGGATTACAGGTGCGAGCCACTGTAACCACTCTTAGTTTTATTTTTGTGTATATTCTAGAGTGATGTATGTACTTTGCTGTTTACCTCGAGATTAACAAGCAGACATTTACTCATTTTTAATCAGTTACTAGATGTCAATTTTGATATTCCATATCCAATTATTGTGTTACACCAATCCTCAAATGTATATACTTAATATTTCTTAAATGCTTCTTCATTGGTCAAAGGAAGAATTATTTTACTTTACTTCCATTTTTGGTTATTGTGTTTGAACTTGGACAGTGCAATCATTACCTTTGCCTTCAGATCCACTGGAAAGAAAACAACACAGCACATTTCTTTCCAAGGCACAGATATCCTTATCATTTCTCAGTGATTACATCAGAAATTCTCACATGGACACTAGGTGTGCTTGTGTTATTTTGATTTATATTTGCTTTAGTATTTTCAGACAGAGTCACAAAGCAAATTATAAATTTGTGGAAGTCTTGAAATTTTAAGGAAACACGTACAATAATTGTTACATAATGTTATGGCTATTTTGCCTTACTAAAGCAGTAGCCCTGCATAAAGACTGCAAGTTCTACTGCTGTTTAAATTACAAGTATGATAACCGTAAAGTATACAGAGCAATTAACTCATTGGAAGAACAAACCACTTTCTAATGTTAGCTTTGCAAAATTAAGTATTAGTGAAAATGTTGAATATGTCTAAAATTTTCTGTAAAATTGATTATGGTTATTGATTACCATGTCCAAGCAGTGAACAAAGGAAACAGAATTCTCTCAAGAAACTATTTTAATCTAAAATCTTTTTTGCTACTATAGATACCCCAATTATCAATAGATGATCTGAATAACAGCATGTTTGTTACACAGATGTAGAAGTTACCAGTAGAACAGTAAGTTTCTTTAAGTATTAATATAAGTAATATTTATAGGCTATATTTTTTATTTACACAACTGCATTTGCTAAAATCTTTGGTAAATATTTTCATTTTTTTCCTTAATAAACATTGCTTATAATTTAGAACCTGATCTGTACATTCTGAATTTTCCAATTTGAAATATGAGAGCAAATATGTGATTTTTTAATATGGAAATGACAGCTGGTACTGTATTTTCCCACTGAGCTTACAAATTCTGAAATGTTTTCCTATTATTAAAGGAATATGATTTGTTCACCAAAACATAGATCACTTTTGAATTGTAATTCTTTAACATTTTTGTAACTTAGTTAATTTTATTGAAGTTAAAGCAATAATTTTGTTAGGATTTGACTGAGATCATTATCTTAAAGACAGTAAGCAAATATACTTCTCCTATGACACTGTAGAAAATAGGGCTTTTTACAGTCTGCTGCATTGTGTTGTTTCCCATAGAAGTCAATCAGAATTGCTCCAGCTATTTGAAATTTTGAGTGACATAATTGAGTAACGAATCATTATTTTCATTCAAATCATGTCTTTTCTTTTTTTAAATTTTAGTTTTTGGATTTTTCCCTTTTGCCCATGATTTCCTCTTTGCCTAGTCTAGGGCCCATAGTGGCACACATTTAATTTGCACAGTCACTTGCACCGTGTGAATTTTGAAGCCACTTAAGACTCTAGGTATCTTAATTAATTCTAGGGACTTATTAAAATAGTGTACCAGCCTTGAATAGCATACCTTAGTTGTTGAAAGTTTGAAATGTCCATACCTAGAGTGTATCATTTGGTTGAAGGAGGTAGTAGTTCTTCTGTCCCCGGATGGACTAGTTTTCGAGATCCCAGCTAGTCCTTCTTCCCTGAGGAGGACACACAGGCCCAAATCACTAACTATAATAAACAGAGCTGATAGCTGACTGTACGTTAAATAAACACGTCCCTTCAATTGTAAGGAATGTTTTAAAAAGACACCTTTGGTGCCTAGGAAAGCTGAAGGAGCTATAAATTGAAATAATTTTCAGGGGTGTCATTTGGGATAGTGGCAACTTGGGAATAGCAGCAAACATGAGAACAGAAGTTTTACCAACATTTGCCTAGTTCTAACAGGCTGCTTCACATCAAGGAAAACAAACATCTTCAAGTATAGTAATTAACTTTTCAATAGAACATTTTTGAGACAAATTTTTGCTTGGTTCCATTAGAAAATGTAGAACTATTTCACAGAACATAATCACTTACATAACGTAACAGGTGTTGAAAAGTTTTCCAAAGTTCAAAAATATAATTTTGTGCAATACTATATACCTAGATTTCACACTTAGGCTATTTCTGCATGGCTCTAAAACATTCAGATAAAAAATTTAAAGTTTATTCAATATTTACATATTTCAAAATGTTTGCTATCAAACACATTTTCTCCACCCATGCCAGCTGGAGGAGGTGGACAAATGAGTGGATGTTCAGCAAGAAGTTTTGGGATTGGATAGATAATGCCGTAAACAATGGAGTGCATCTCTGTTAACCTAGGATAGTTCTCCACATTAGTGCTCAATGGGAACCACAGACTATTATAGCTGTATGGCTCTTTAGCAATCATTTCCAAGAGCCCCATTTTCACAATTATACAATCTGAAACTCAAAGTGGGAGATGTCTTGGCATAGTTTACTCACAGAACTGGAACAGGAACCATGGTGTCCTGATTCCTAGTTCAATAACCCTTTAATATTTCTCACTCTTTTTTATTTTCCATTTCAGTTGAAGTTCTGAGCAGCAGAATTATGGAGTTTCAGAATCTCTCCGTGAAAACCCCCATATGGCCTTTCTCTGTATATTCTCGTATGTCCTCTTCTACCAACACAACAATATGTGTGGTGCAGTCAATATATTAAGCAAAACAAAGATACCAGCCAACAAATTCAAATAAGAAAAAATGAAACATCAAAAGTCAATGGAGATGTTAAAACAAAACACAATTAGAAAACTAGTAACTACCATCTTTGTTAAATTATTTAGTAGAAGATGACCGTAAAATTTTGTAAGTTGTTACATTACTCTTTGTGATTTTCCTGTAACCATGCTAAGTGAATTTCTACAGTGAAGTGTTGGCTTACTATACATTCTTGGTGGATAAATGTTTATCTGTTTTTGAAGTGTTACGTTGCTATTTTGTTTACATAATAATCTACTGGTTTGCTTTAGAAAGTAACATATATTCAGTACTATTTTTCCTGTTATTGTATTGTGTTGTGTTAGGTTTTCACATACTGTAGTGTTTTCCTGTATATGGAGGGCATTTGATTTCAACAGAAATATTATTAATGGGGAATAGAAGTATATGTGCTTGAAAAACAGGACAGGTTCATGTTAATGCCCTCTCTCTCTAGAATATTTCTGTAGGTTTCTTGGTGTGGACACTTAAAAGACCTCACTGTTGGGTGTGCACAAAGCCTGTTCATACACATGCATGTGTCATCTGTACCTGCAGATCTGATGTTGCATTATACAATCAAATTGCTACATTTTTGAGAGAGAGAGAAATAATCACCTGCACAAAGCAAAGAACTTCTTAGAACATTAACCTCTACTTCATTCCCCTTCAATAGCTTGAAAAATAAGAATTTACTTTTAAATGAGTATCTTGGCATTTATACTAAACTTATGTAAAGTGCCCATTACTTTTTTTTGTGGCTCAAGAATCCTTTCTCCTAGGTTGAGTGTCTAAGACTGAGCCACTTATCATCTTCAGCTCAGAAACTGGTATTGAGGGCTTAAAGATATGCTAATTATAGGTTATAAATCCAGCAGAGAGATGGGGTTATGGCTATAGTTTTAACATACTGGAGGAAAGTGTGTAAAACCATTGCAATGTAACCTTTTACACAAGTGCCATTTTCCAAATGCAAATGGCTTATGCTCTTTAGACTATTCTTTGAATAATAAGTAAGATGTAATCCAGCAAAAGTCAGTCAGGGTGAAAGAAAATTGATTCCAAATGAGGCCTTTCCTCCCCAAATGGATAATCTTCTCAGATTTGGAGAAATGGCAGAGACAGGGGGCAGGGAGGGGTTTCAGTTATTCTTTTGTTTATTCAGAACTAGGAAAGATGTCTTCAGTTGTCTTTAGCTTCAGTTAACTGAGTTTCCAGTTTTATTAAACACTTAGTGAAGGAACAATGCCTGTGATATATGGCAAGTGTTTCCCTGCCCTGACTTTAACATCAGAGTCTCTCGCATCATAACCAAGCCTCTTCTATTTGTTTGGATTCCTTTTCCTTGATATGTGTTTGAAAATTATAATACAGATGGGTTTTAGTATCCTTTGGATGGAATAGAGTGGGTATATTCCACAGAGCTGAGCTTAAGTCACTTATGAAATCATTTTACAACCAAGTAAAATAGTAATTACTTGATTCCTGTGGCGTGGGGCATACCCCCTCCACTCTAGTCAGTTATTAACATTACTATTGTTGTACGGTGATGGAAACACATATTTGACATCAACTTAAATAGATTTAATATTTTCTAGTAAATATACATTCTCCTACTGGAAAGTACAAAACCATCATATTTGTTCCTTCATGAAAATGATATGCATGGAGAAAATCTGACTTAGGAGACCCTGCACCAGCTAATAGTGTTTGAATCACAGAATAATGGAATGGCAAAAACTTTTTTGCACTTGATGAAACTGAAACCCAGGGCATTCAACTTGCCCGAGGCTACCAAGTCATTGTGAGACCTAAAAATACCTTGTAACTCCCATTGTTCTTCCTTTTCAAGAACATTTGAGACTATTCCAAAGCAGATTTGGGTCAGTTTGTAAGAGAGCAAATTTAGCTTTCTGGTAGTTGAGATACTATTGATATTCCTCATCAATTAAATCATGATCAACAGTGATATCTACACAGCCTTGCTTATATTGAGACACTGTCATCTCTTAATACTGTTTCCTGGTGTTAGAGATCCAAGACTGTCCTGACTTTTACCTGTGGACTCTATGAACCACTTAATTTCTCTTTGGTGAGAACTTAACATTGCCAGAGAAGAAAGTAGAGTATGCTTTTCTGAAATTCCTTGTATATGGAACTGAGTTTTATATAATCTGTGCCAGTGCCTCTCCAGAAGGGCAGATCTGATTAAGTAAATCTAAGAAGGATGCATTTGAACTAGTCTGGATGTATTCCTTAAGGGAGACGGCAATGTTTTGTGCGAAAGAAACTTTTGTGTAGTTTGACATTGATGCAACGTACTATCTCATTTAATTTCTTCAACTTTTGGCAAAGTTGTACATGGAAGAGGAACTAGAAGACTTGACAATGACTTATTTTTTAGGAAGCTGTTGAGTGAGGGATATTCAGGATAGTTGTATTTTTGGTGCCACAATTTTCTATGTTGTTGGCATTTTAAAAGTTGCTTTGTACCTGAATTTAAAGAAATAAAACTAAGAAAAGATCTACAGTTCTCATCAAATTGAATAGTTTTGAGAAAATGCAATTTTGAGATAGCACTCATTAACTCGGTTGTGCAATGACTTATTCAAATGACCTTTATTTAAGGCAAAAAAAGAAGATAAGTCATTAGACTATAAATTTCCAGTGAAAAAAGACAAGTCACAAAACTAATCAGTGACTCTAAACAGAAATTTACTGGATGAACTGTATATATAAAATTCTAATCACTTGTAATTCTTAGTTAACATTTTATAAGCTTTATATTTTTCAAGGGGCTCTATTTTTATTTATCCAAAATTATTATTTTTGTCCATTTCTCTTAGCCTTTTGCAAAAATGTGCAGGGTTGCTGAAACTTAGATAAAACGGGTCATGTATACAGAGGAAATAATCTAAAAGTTATCTCTTAAGAGGTTTTTAGTAGTGTCAATTTTTTTAATAAAAGGCAGTATGTGACCATAACATAAGTATATGTTAAAGAGGGATTAAGATTAAATTAAATGGATTCATAAAATTGCTATTTAAATACAGTATTTACTTTTCCAATTGGAGCATGATTTCACAACCAACCATTGCATTTCATTTCACTTTTCTAGAGTAGAGTCTTTAATTTATAGTTTGTTGTGATATGGAAATCCATCCTGTCTATACTCCATCAGTCTTCTCCATCCATTGTTGAACATGCTAAAGCACTTTCATCTTGCTACAAGTGTTGTCCAACCTACACCACTAAGCTGTGTTCACTAATGGAAGGTCTCAGCTCACTTGCTCTCCAATTTGGGAAAAAGTAAAGCAAGTACCTCCTGCCTGCCATCAGCAGGAACCAAACGAAATTAATCTTTGCAATTTGAATCTGTTTTACATGGCTTAGCGATATCTGAATAATGACCAACATTTACAGAAGGCTCATGTGCTCCTTAAAATGTTATTTGGTTCTGTTTTCCCCTCTTTGGAGAGTATAGATGAGAGTGTGCTTAGATAAAATACAGCCCCAAGTTCTCTAAGTTCTTTTAGCCTATAGGGTAGACTGAGATACACACAATAATTAGAAACTGGAGTCCTCATTATTTTTCTCTCTCCTACATTTCACACATGTTAAAATAAAAATAGACAAAATTTGTGAGGGAAATCTGATTTCCCGGTTCCCATGAATCGAGTTAGTAAGACAGTGGCCTCATTTTACCGTTGCCTGTTGAAGGTAATATAACAAACAACATGTTAAAGAGTATAGCACATTTTTTTGCAACTTTAGTCGATAGCCTAATTAAGCTGTAAATATACCTACTAATATAGATTCTGAGCACCACCTCACTAATTGGTGCACATTTGCATTGTTCTTATTCTTGTTGTTAGTTTTTAAGATTTCTATTTTTTGCTTTTTTATATCTCTAAGTAACTAATGGATATAATTTTGAAGGACAGGTAGAGTAAGTTTAAGTTTTTACTACATGTATTTAGCTCACCTAGCTAGGTTCTAAACTAACACTGAAGCATGACAAAGATTATATTCCAAAACTATTCATTACAGTTCACAGTTTAAGAACAAATATAACTTTATATACAAATAATAATTGTTAACTAATGATATTTACTTGTTGCTTTGGCAACAAAACTACAACATGGCTACCTTTAGACATCTTTTATGTGAAAATTTTACTTGTAAACTATACTTGGTTTGTGACAGTATGAGCCTGTAGCAAATACAGCTCAAAACTCAGAAAACATACATGACTGAATTTCTTCTAAAATCCCAAAGTCCCACATGTGAAAGCTGAATTTGTGTCCTTGTGTGACTTTTTGGTCTAAAAGTTTACAACACATGGATTTTAGAATCAGGCTTTATTGTTTATTGAATTTGTTGTGTGGATAGGGTTATTCCACAGTATTCAGACTTTAGAATATAATCATTGCATTTATGATATAGTACCTGACTTATTTTCCTAACTTCATTCCAAATTACTTTAGTCAAGTGGTGGGCATAGATGTAGCAGCAAAAATTCTGTTTTCTGGAATTACATAAATTACATAAATATGACTAAAGCATATTGTGAAATTAATTCATAATTGTAAAATTGTATGTCAAAGTACTGTGGAATGACCCCTTAACAGTGTTTAAGAGACATATGCTGCAGTTAACTGATCGCCTCAGTTAGGGTGCGAATGTGTGAGACACACCTTTTTTGCACTTATGTACATAGTCCATGAGAGCAATCCTTGGAGCTTTTTTTTTTAATGTAAGAAGTCTGTGATAATAGTGGAAAAGTTAGTAAGAGAGCATTATTTCTAAGACTTTGAGAAGGAAGGTGTTTTTGCTGTAAGGCGTACCTAAAGCATGATGTTGCTTTGCTGCTGTGGTGGCTTTCTAGTTTGGTGCACTTCACTAAAAGAGAAGACTAGAAACAGGTAACAGCTCAACCTCAGTTAGCAGCATTGAACAAGAGTGAAGTACTTGTTAACAAGACCAGTAGCAAAGATTGATTTTTGAATTAATTCCGAACACACGTATGCGTGCACACACACACAAACCACAAACACCAGGCAGGTTTCTGACACAGGTTTTCTTTTCTTAATGGTTGCAAGCAGTGAAATAACCCTGTAAATTACAAGATAAATATTCCCATTATGATCTAATCAGATTTCATTTTTCCCAGCAAATTATCCACTGCTTTTATACATTCGGTGATATGTATATCAATTTGTACTGAAGTGACAAATTGTTACTGTTGACCACTATTCCTCCTTTAAGATCCAGTAACCAATGCCAAATTAGCAACTA